TCCGTAAATGGGTCGACATGAGTGTGATTCATCATGTGGCTCAAGAGAAGGAGTCCTATAAGTTGTGGACTAAGCTTGAAGAGCTGTTTGAAAGAAAGAATGCCTTGAAGAAAGCTTCCTTCATTAGAAAACTAGTCAATCTCAAGTACAAGGAGGGCAAGAATGTGTATGAGCACTTGAATAATTTTCAAGAAATTTTTAATGAACTAGTTATAGTGAAGTTGGCCATTGATGATGAGGTACAAGCATTGATTTTATTGAGCTCTCTTTCGGATAATTGGGAGACTTTGGTGGTAACTTTAAGCAACTCAACAAGAGATGGGGAGATGACTTTGCAGCTGGTTAAGGACAACATATTGAGTGAGGAATCCAGAAGAAAAGAGCAAGGAATTATGAGTTTTGAGTCTGAAGCACTGGTTACTGAGTATAGAGGGAGGAGTAAGCAAAGGTATATTCGAAGAGACAATGATAGACAATCTCAAGAGAGGTGCAGCAAGGGGAAGTCCAGAGGTAGATCAAAATCCAAGAGCAGAGTGACTTGTTACACTTGTGGAAAGCAAGGTCATTATCAAAAGGATTGTTGGCACAATAGAGATAAAAATGTTAGGAAGAGGGCTGATACTCATGAAGAGAAGGAGGCCAAGGAAAACACTGCTGCAATTACTTCTGATGGTGAGGTATACTTACTATGTGAGAATGATAACATTGATGTTGCTCATCATGATTCTACATGGGTTGTTGATACTGCTGCTTCTTATCATGTCACACTAAATAGAGACTGGTTTAGCTTATATAAAGAAGGTGATTTTGGCTATCTGAAGATGGGAAATAGATCTGAAGCCAAGATTGTGGGTGTTGGTGACGTTTGGCTTGAAACAAACAGCAGGTCCAAGCTGCACTTGAAAAATGTGAGACATGTTCCTGAAATACGTTTCAATTTGATGTCTATGGGTATCCTAGATGATGATGGCTACCTTAATTATTTTGGTAACGGGACTTGGAAACTCACAAAGGGCACTATGGTTGTGGCAAGAGGCAAGAAGAGATTTTCACTCTATGAAACTCAAGCAAAACAGTGTCAGGGATAGATCAATGTTACAGAAGCTGATGCTACTGAGTTATGGCACAAGAGGCTTGGGCACTTGAGTGAGAAGGGACTTCAAATCCTTAGCAAAAAGGAACTCCTACCCGGCTTTATAGGTAATCTTTCTAAAACCTGTGCTGATTGTTTAGCTGGCAAGCATCATAAAGTTTCTTTTCACACTTTACCCCTGTCTAGAAGAAAATATGCACTTGATTTGGTTCATACTGATGTTTGCTTCATGAAAGATAAAAGTTTAGGTGGTGCTACATATTTTGTGACTTTTGTGGATGATTTTTCTAGAAAATTGTGGGCTTATCCCTTGTCTAGTAAAGATCAGGTGCTGGAAAAATTTAAAGAATTTCAGGCAATGACAGAAAGAGAAATTGGGAGGAAATTAAAGTGCATCAGGTTTGATAATGGTGGTGAATACAGTGGACAGTTTGAGCGCTATTGTAGAGAACAGGGAATTAAGCTCGAGAAGACCACTCCTAGAACTCCACAACATAATGGAGTTGTTGAAAGGATGAACAGAACAATATGTGACAGAATTGTCTGTATGCTCTCTCATGCTAAGTTGTCAAAGTCTTTTTGGGGTGAGGCTTTGAAGACTGCAGTATACTTGATCAATCGATTCCCTTCTGTTGTTCTAAATGGTGATGTTTCGGAGCAGGTTTGGTCAGGCAAATAAGTATCCTACAAGCAGTTGAGGGTATTTGGCTGCAGGGCATATGTGCATGTTCCAAAAGAGGAGAGAGCAAAGCTTGATGCAAAGACAAAACAGTGTGTGTTCTTGGGATATGGTGATGAGGAGTATGGCTACAGATTATGGGACTTGAAAAATAGAAAATTAATGAGAACCAGAGATGTGGTGTTCATTGAGAATGAGATGGTTGAATACTCAAAGAAGCAAGATGACAATGAGCACACTCAAGAAATACCAGACAGTGATTATTGTACTCCTTCAACACCCAAACCAAGTGTTATAAATGATGATCACAGTGAAGTAGATGAGCATCAAGTTCAAGAGCCTGTTGTTGAACATTTTGTTGAAGAAGAAACACATCAAGAAGAGTAAGTGCAACCACCACAGCAACCTCAAGTTAGGAGGTCCATTAGACTTCATTAACCATCTCGAAAGTTCTCCACTGATGAGTATGTGCTCTTGACTGGCGGGGGAGAGCTAGAAACTTATTATGAAGCTATGGAGAGTGAAAACAAGAAGGAAGGGTTGATGGCAATGCAAGAAGAAATGAGTTCTTTGCAAGAGAATGGGACTTATGAGCTGGTAGAGCTTCCAAAGGACAAAAAGGCTCTTAACAACAAGTGGGTTTTTAGAGTAAAGTCTAAAGTGAACAATCCCAATCCAAGGTTCAAAGCTAGATTAGTGGTGAAGGGCTTTAGACAACAAAAAGGCATTGATAATGATGAGATTTTCTCACCAGTAGTAAAAATGCCATCTATTCGAGTTATTTTGGCTTTGGCAGCTAGCTTGAATTTAGAAATTGAACAGCTGGATGTTAAGACAGCTTTTCTCCATGGTGATCTTGAGGAGGAGATTTATATGAAGCAACCAGAGGGTTTTGAGGTGCAAGGCAAGAAGAATCTAGTTTTTAAATTGAAGAAAAGTTTGTATGGTCTCAAACAAGCTCCGAGGCAATGGTACCATAAGTTTGACTCTTTTATGGGGGAGCATAAATTCACTAGAACAGAATCTGATCATTGTGTTTATGTTAAGAGGTATCCAGATGGTGATTTCTTGATACTTTTGCTTTATGTGGATGACATGTTGATTGTTGGTCATGACATAAAGAAAATTGCAACCTTGAAGACTAACTTGAGCAAGTCCTTTTCTATGAAGGATTTGGGTCCAGCAAAGCAAATTCTTGGATTGAAAATTTTTCGAGATAGAAAGAACAAGAAGTTGTGGTTGTCACAAGAAAAATATATTGAAAAGGTGCTTAACAGGTTCAACATGAGCAAAGCAAAACCTGTGGGCACTCGACTTGCTGGCCATTTCAAACTTAGCATAGAGCAGTGTCCTGCAAGCAAGGAGGAAGCAGAATACATGAAGAATGTGCCCTATGCTTCTGCAGTTGGTAGTCTAATGTATGCTATGGTATGCACAAGGCCAGATATAGCTCACGCAGTGGGGGTAGTAAGCAGATTTTTATCCAATCTTGGCAAGCAACATTAGGCAATAGTTAAGTGGATTTTCACGTATCTTAGAGGTACATCTCACATGTGCTTATGTTATGGTGAGCATGAATCTTTACTTAATGGCTATAGTGATGCTGATTTTGGTGGAGATTTGGACTCTAGAAAGTCCACTTCAGGATACTTTATGCTTTATGTAGGGGGAGCAATTTCATGGAAGTCAAGACTACAAAAAAGTGTTTCATTATCCACTATAGAAGCTGAGTATATAGCTCTTTCTGAAGTAGGAAAGGAGATTGTATGGATGAAGACGTTTTTTGAAGAATTGGGTCTTAAGCAAGAGAGATTTGTGCTATTTTGTGATAATCAAAATGCAATTTACTTGGGCAAGAACCCACAGTTCCATTCTAGAACCAAGCATGTTGATTTGAGGTATCATTGGATACGTGATGCAATTGAAGAAAAGGTGCTTGATGTTGAGAAAGTTCACACGGATGACAATAGTTCTGATATGATGACTAAGTCCTTGGTGAGAAGCAAATTTGAGTTTTGCATGTCACAAGCTAGCTTGGTGGAGCCCCCCAACTAGCTCGGGCAGGGGAGATTGTTGAGTTAGCCCTCCCAAGTTGGGTGGCTCAACAATGTAGGTGCACCATGAGTGCATAGTGAATGGCAGAAAACTTGGGAAGTTTGTGTTTTGAAGTTGCACAGTGTTTTCGACACGGACTTTTCTTATTGTTGAAGAAATGGGAAAAGCAAAGTGGACTCCTCCAAATTTGGATATGCTAACATGTTAGTCCCTGATAGGATAGTGTTACACTATTCTTGTATCCAAAAGCTCCCTATTTAATCTCTTGTTTTAAATTTAAA